GAATAGGCTAAACTACAGTAGTCTATAACCATTTATTTATCAACTGGCTTTTGCAGGAGCGTGAAAGAAAATCGTTCCTCTTTCTTTGAGATGCATGTGACAGGTCAATCAAATAATCCACACAATTGCGACACATGCCCCAACACTGGTATACTTCTGCTTGAAATAGTGACAGCCAATGTTAAATATGAAAAAGAAAGGAAAGTTCTCATCATGAAAAGGATAGCAAAAGGCCACGTTATTGGACAGTCAGTTGCTGGACGTGGCACAAGGAAGTGATATATGCAACTGTAAACCATTGTAAAAGAAAAGGCTCCAGGGGGAGTCAAACCCTCGACCTTCTGCTTACTAGGCAGACGCTCTAACCAACTGAGCTATAGAGCCGTTGGGATAGGCTAAACTACAATAGTCTATAACCCATTTATTTATCAACTGGCTTTTGCAGGAGCGTGAAAGAAAATCGTTCCTCTTTCTTTTAGATGCATGTGACAGGTCAATCAAATAATCCAAACAATTGCGACACATGTCCCAACACTGGTGTACTTCTGCTGGAAATAGTGACAGCCAATGTTAAATATGAAAAAGAAAGGAAAGTTTTCATCATGAAAAGGATAGCAAAAAGCCACGTTATTGGACAGTCAGTTGCTGGACGTGGCACAAGGAAGTGATATATGCAACTGTAAACCATTGTAAAAGAAAAGGCTCCAGGGGGAGTCGAACCCTCGACCTTCTGCTTACTAGGCAGACGCTCTAACCAACTGAGCTATAGAGCCGTTGGGATAAGCCAAACTACAGTAGTCTATACTCCATTGTAAAGTAAAGGCTCTTATATCCAGAGTTCCGGACAGCAGACCACTTACGCACATTATTTCTTACAATCCAGTATTCAGAAAAGGAATTCCGAAGATAGGATTCTTCAGGACACTGTTCGCATTATGGTTTTCAGTATATATTACTGTATATTGCTGAATATTGCGGTCAAAGTATAAAGATAGTCAAAATAATCAACGCCCTGATGTTTAGAGTGATTATTTGTTGTCGCATGTGTTCCCGCATCAATTCCTGCCCTGCCAACATCCTCAACACATGTTTATAACACACCAATTGTTCGTTGATCGATTTACCATACATTAAACCACCAGCTCGGGGCTGATACTTGTCAATACAAGCTGTCACCTGTATCCGTCTGTTCTGTTTGTTGTTTAACGCCAGCTATATGACAGCAGTCTGTAAATAATCGAGTCTGGACCAGACAATCCAGTGATTGACATCACGCGCATCGGTCGATGCATCAATTAAGTCAGCGAGCCTGACCACCCGATCCCGTTAGTCGCCTCTTACGACAAGCAAAGCCGCCTTTTACGGCAAGCATGGGATGCTGAAGACTTATTCTACCCCGGATCCTCACCTGTATCTGAGAAGTCACTGCCTAGAGTCACCCAAAGACGGTTGTCTGAGCCCCAACTTTTGGTATAACAGAACGCTGTGAATGTATGCGAGACAGATTAATAACATTGGATTAAATTGAATTGATCAGACTGGGCTAGTCTTAGATTTATTACGCAGATTCTAATAATATAATATTGATGAAAGCAGTGTTTAAGTGTAAAAAGTACTGCTTGCAGCTTCAGAAGCAGAGCCATTAATTATGCCATTTGATTGTGACGTCATGGAAACCTATGACATCACCATGGTCTGCAAAGCATTGTGATGCAATTTCATTGCAGCTTGATCTCTAGATCTCACCCAAGGGATGTCTCCTCTGGGAGCCAGTTTTGGATGATAGAGAGAAATAAGCTCCCCAATAAAAGTCACATCAATCGCTTGGTTAGTCCGTTCCTACCTGTGGTAGTTACTCAACGACTGAATTTTGTGCAAGAGACGACCTCACAAGTACATAAAAAAATCATCCTCACTGATGGACTAGTACTAAATCATTTTAATTCCTTATTTGATGTAGAGGCGGTCGGGTAGCCTAGTGGTTAAAGCGTTCGCTCGTCACGTCGAAGACCCGGGTTCGATTTCCGACATGGGTACAATGTGTGAGGCCCTTTTCTGGCCGTGATATTGCTGGAATATTGCTAAAAGCGGCGTAAAACCATACTTACTCACTCACTCACTCCAATACAGAAATGTGCCTTTCTTAGATACATCATAACATTAATGCGTATTTGCATTAATTTATCTCTGACATATGAGGAAACACGCAATACAAGACCACATTGTTGAGGAAATGACGCATGGCTACATTCAATATTAGAATGTGGCTAATTGCTACTCGAAGACTATTATCTGCACGAAATCTAGGTTAGCCTATGACTTGGATCTGTGGTAGATCTTAAGAGTTGTCTGACTAGAATATGTAATAATTCTTATATATATATACACTTTTATTCCTCCATAGGAGAGTTACAAGGTATAATATTAAAGATTATTACATGAAAATAATTACATTGTCAGGGAATACCGCCATATACCACTCTGTTAACGGATTTTCTTAGTAAATTCCGTCCATATATTGAAAGCGGTAGAGTCCTCGAATTACACTTCGTGAGTAAGAGCGACTGGTATCTGGATCAGTATCCAAAGGTGGCTTACAGGACAACAAACAAGCTACAAAATCATAGTCTGATTTGCTGTGGAGTTCAACGCTGATGTCAACGGGCATATGTAGTAAATCTAAGACTACTCTATGCTAGATTATGTAATAAATATCACTATTCTATGATTGTAAGAAATCTAAGACTAGCCTAGCCTATCTATTAAAGCTGAGAGTAGTGAATGACTAGAATCTGTTATATATCTATGACTAGAATCAGTAATAAATCTAATTCTATTCTTTGATATAATCTCTCTGTAATAAATGTAATTTTGGTATGTTTCTAGAATCTGTGATGAATCTAAGACAAGTAACTGAAACAAATCAAAGACTTATTCTATAATCTAATGTATAGAGGATTCATCACGAGTGTCTTTTGATATGGGAAATATCAACCGAGTCTTAGTTGATCGGTACTTGCCGAGATTTTGGCGAGGCAAATACCGATTAACGGGACGAGGTTGATATTTCCCATATTAAAAAACACGAGTGATGAATTCTATGTATCATTTTCACATTTTTGCTTCCCTTTCAAGGAATAATTGCATTAAGATTAACATCAGCAACTTGTCGAAATCTTACGTATAGATCGTGCGTAGTGATACATGTTTTCCATTGCCGTGTTAGGTTACTGTAAACCAAAATTAACAACCTCTTAACTCCTTTATGGCATATTCCTTCGCTGAGAAAAGAAGTCCTCGGATTATTTTATACAGACTACTTGAACAGACTTTTGCAGAATAATTGAAACTTTAATAACGGTAACAACAACGATTCCGTGTAATCTGATGATATAAATCTGGTATAACTTCAAATCAAACCGCTCTCTCACTTGAAGAGTGTCTCGTGCCAGAACAATTGGAAACTGTCGGTTAATTGAAAACAACCTAACATTCTATTTGGAAGGGGGGGATTGACATCTACGCATGAGAAACGGTCTTTTCAAGGAAAATCAATGTTGTTAATTCCAACACATATCTTGAATTGGTATTTTGGGAACACCTCACTTTGCCCTCACCTATTGTTATAGGGTACAGGTGTAGTCAGCCGTGGTTAAGTGGGTAATAATAGGGGGATTACCTATAGTCTATTGAATGTATTTTCTCACACAATAAATTTTAAGAAGCAAGCTTTGATTGACTTGGAAATCTTCCGCCAAATATCTTTTTCGACTTTTCGACACACAAATACAACCGATTATATTTTATGGTTCTGAAGTATGGATTTCAAAGATATGAATGTCTAAAAAATGTCATTCCACTTGGCATGTGAAATTAACTTGGGGTGGGGATCTCTACGCCGAATTCTATGGCTTACGGTGAATTTGGTAGGTATCCTCGACACACAGTTTCACAAATTAGTTTCCTTAAATTCTGGTTCAAAATTATAGATATGCACGAACAACGTCTACCGAAAAATGCCAACAATATGCGATTACATATTTAGATAGTATAGGTAAGATTTCATGGAAATCTTTTATTTTCATACTGTTATGGCATTGCCTAGTTGTCCAAAACAGTTGGTAATATTAAAATGTTTTTAAAGGAATTCCGGGAACACTCCATAAATAATTTTATTTAAAAATTGGCATTCAAATTTAAACGAAAGTAAACCACATGCATCCTACAGATCCTTAAAAGTCTCGATGAAACTGAAAAATACATTTTCCATCTAATGTCTCGAAAATTGCGTGGTTTAGTTGTCAGATTTTGATCGGGTATGTCAGAATTAATTATCAATGATGTGGAAAAAATAGGTACCAATAAAAATAGGAGAACATGTATTTATGTCAAAAAGATGTAGAAAAAGAAAATCCCTTTACATGCACAACGTATAGTAATTTGAGAGTTCAAAATCTACAAGAAACGGAAGCCACCTGAAATCGTATTGCCTTCTTTTATGACGTCTATAAATGATACCGATATTCTATTACTTTCTTCTTCTTCTTCTTCTTATTTATGCATTGAGTAATATTATGCATTATTTTATTATGTATATTGCTTTAATACGTATTGTTTTATCATGGATTGTTTTATTACACATAATAGATTATTATGCTATATCTTATAACATGTATTGTGTTTTGATATTATAAGCGCGTGAAGGGGCACGGGTGGCCCAGTCGTCTAAGGCGCCGCGATTCGCTGTGCAGAGTTGCGTCCCTTGGGCACGCCAGAACCCTATGATTATGTTTCTCGGTTTGTCAGCACCATACCCGTGCTCGTGGATTCACCGAAGTGGTAAACGTCTGAGACCTGCATCACTTCGGGCTTTCCTAACACATTAAATCTGACACGCCGGATGGAATACTGTTAAAAGCGGCGTTAAATCCAACTCACTCACTCACTATAAGCGCGTGTATTTATTCATTGTAATACAAATAAAGTGACTTCAAGAAAACGATTCTTCTAACCTTTACTCAGAATGTCATCAACTTACAAGCATAGTGAAAGCGTGTTTAAAGGGGGATTTCACAAATGAAATTAAACTTGTAGGGCGAGCAAGGTACGTCATTGAGCTTGTAATGAAGCGATGTCCTCATGTCACCGCATTTCTCCTTCGAGTTGTTCGGCTCGCCTGGGGCCCAGAAGCTTTTCTCCACAGCACTGTCATCATCCCAGATCATGCGCCGGCCACCGAGACTCTTAAGACCAACCCAGTAGGTCGCAGATCTCCCAGCTGAAATGTTTCACATGTCAGGAATATATTTAGGTTTGTTTGTTTGTTTGTTGTTTAACGCCGCACTCAGCAATATTCCAGCTTTATGACGGCGGTCTGCAAAATAATCGAGTCTGGACTAGACAATCCAGTGATTAATATCATAAGCATCGATCCACGCAATTGGGATCGATGACATGCATCAACCAAGTCAGCGAGCCTGACCACCCGATCCCGTAAGTCGCCTTTTACGGCAAGCATGGGTTGCTGAAGACCTATTCTACCCCGGAATCTTCACGGGTAGATTTTTTTTTTTTATGATCTGTATACTTCTGCTAATGAAATAAAGCTTACATGGTCCCATGTCAATCCACAAGTTTACTCAACAAATATTAAATATTGTCATCAAGGCAGAGTCATCGATCGCCTTGTCGTCTAAAACACAAGAATTCCCTGGGCAGAGTTGCATCGTTTATCGTCTCAGAAACCTATTATTTATCCTGATTATTTGTCTAGGTTTGTCAGCACGCCTAAACCTCTAATTAAATAAGCAAAGTCCTTACCACTGTCCATAAGAAGATATCAGCGGTATGTACAGTATTATGCATACCACTATATATGTATTTATATAATGTCCATATTTGTTTGTTGAGTATGTATTAAAAAGAAAAAAGGTATTTAAGATGTTCATAAACACATAACTGTTACAACGTGACGTCATCACAATACTATGACGTACGGGTAGCAAATTACAAGTCTCCCATTGTTTAGACAGGCAGTTCTTAGACAGTGTAGAAGGGGAGTAGGTGAGAGCCGATCCACAGCCTTACTGGGACAGTCCGAATTGGATTGCCCTAACTTCTTTGAGAAGCATTTAAAATGTACCTATATGTGTTTGTTTGTTTGCTTGTTTGTTGTTTAACGCCGCACCCAGGAATATTCCAGCTATATGACGGAGGTCTGTAAATAATCGAGTCTGGACCAGACAATCCAGTGATTAATTTCATGAGCATCGATCCACGCAATTGGGATCGATGACATGCATCAACCAAGTCAGCGAGCCTGACCACCCGATCCCGTTAGTCGCCTTTTACGACAAGCAGAGTCACCTTTTACGGCAAGCATGGGTTGCTGAAGACCTATTCTACCCCGGAATCTTCACGGGTCACCTATATGTGTAACACAATATGTACCTAGATGTAGAACACGATATGCACCTAGATTGTAATGTCATATGTTCCTAGGTGTATAACGCGATATCTACTTAGAGTGTAAAACTATATCTACCTCGAGTGTAAAACGATATGTACCTAGTTGAATAACGCGATATATACATATATAACTCTGTATATACTTAGACGTGTGATGCGATATTACCTTGATCTAGAACGCGACATGTACCTAGATGCGTAACATGGTGTGTACCTAGATGTGCCACACGCTATGTACGTATATCTATAACGCGATATGTGCCTTGAGTGTAACACAATATGTACCTAAATGTGTAAAACGGCTTAACAAAATATGTACCTAGATGTATAACACGGTATGTACCTAGATGTGTAACATGGTATGTACCTAGATGTGTAACACGGTATGTATCTAGATGTGTAACACGGTATGTACCTAGATGTGTAACACGGTATGCACCTAGATGTATAACACGGTATGTACCTAGATGTGTAACACAGTATGCACCTAGATGTGTAACACAGTATTATCTAGATGTGTAACACGGTATGTGCCTAGATGTGTAACACAGTATGTACCTAGATGTGTAACACAGTATGCACCTAGATGTGTAACACGGTATGTATCTAGATGTGTAACACAGTATGCACCTAGATGTGTAACACAGTATTATCTAGATGTGTAACACGGTATGTATCTAGATGTGTAACACGGTATGTACCTAGATGTGTAACACAGTATGCACCTACATGTGTAACACAGTATTATCTAGATGTGTAACACGGTATGTATCTAGATGTGTAACACAGTATGCACCTAGATGTGTAACACAGTATTATCTAGATGTGTAACACGGTATGTGCCTAGATGTGTAACACAGTATGCACCTAGATGTGTAACACAGTATGCACCTAGATGTGTAACACGGTATGTATCTAGATGTGTAACACGGTATGTATCTAGATGTGTAACACAGTATGTACCTAGATGTGTAACACGGTATGTATCTAGATGTGTAACACGGTATGTATCTAGATGTGTAACACAGTATGTATCTAGATGTGTAACACAGTATGCACCTAGATGTGTAACACAGTATTATCTAGATGTGTAACACGGTATGCACCTAGATGTGTAACACAGTATGCACCTAGATGTGTAACACGGTATGTATCTAGATGTGTAACACGGTATGTATCTAGATGTGTAACACAGTATGTACCTAGATGTGTAACACGGTATGTATCTAGATGTGTAACACGGTATGTATCTAGATGTGTAACAGGGAATGTACCTAGATGTGTAACACAGTATGTATCTAGATGTGTAACACAGTATGTATCTAGATGTGTAACACAGTATGTATCTAGATGTGTAACACGGTATGTACCTATATGTGTAACATGGTATGTATCTAGATGTGTAACACGGTATGTACCTAGATGTGTAACAGGGAATGTACCTAGATGTGTAACACGGTATGTATCTAGATGTGTAACACGGTATGTATCTAGATGTGTAACACGGTATGTATCTAGATGTGTAACATGGTATGTACCTAGATGTGTAACACGGTATGTACCTAGATGTGTAACACGGTATGTACCTAGATGGGTAACACGGTATGTACCTAGATGGGTAACACGGTATGTACCTAGATGTGTAACACGGTATGTATCTATATGTGTAACATGGTATGTATCTAGATGTGTAACACGGTATGTACCTAGATGGGTAACAGGGAATGTACCTAGATGTGTAACACAGTATGTACCTAGATGTGTAACACGGTATGTACCTAGATGTGTAACACGGTATGTATCTAGATGTGTAACACGATATCTACATATGTGGGTAGTACCTATCTATGTACCTAGAGTGTATTGCGATATGTACCTACAGTCTAACACAATATGTATCTAGATGCGTAAAATGGTATGTACCTATATGGGTTACATGGTATGTACCTAGATGAGTAACAAAATATGTAAATAGAGTGTAACACGATATGTACCAAGATGTGTAACACGATATCTGCATATGTGGTGTAACACAATAGACAGACAGACAGTTTATTCAGTAGAAAGGCCATACGCCCACAATAAGACAATGTTTGATTGCATGATGAAGTAATCGATTTAAGTTTCGCTCAGCCGTCGGACTTAATATAGATATAAACATGTGTTATGTACAACATCAAAGTTTCTGATGATAAACATGAGTATATATACAAATATGTAAAACTACTTATTTGTAATTGTTTTGTATATGGGCCGGAGGCCTTACATGCAATAAATATCTTTGACTTTGACTTTGAGTGTAACACGATATGTACCAAGATGTGTAACACGAAATCTACATATGTGGGTAGTACCTAGAGTGTACTGCGATATGTACCTATATGTGTAACACAATATGTAAATAGAGTGTAACAGTATATGTTCCAAGATGTGTAACACGATATGTACCTCTATGTACAACACAGTATGTACCTAGAGTGTAACACCGTATGTAAATAGATGTGTAACACAAAATATACCTAGATGAGTATCATACTATGTACCTATTTGCCTAGTGCCTTGCTATGTACCTAGATGTCTACCACGATATGTACATGGATGAGATAGAGTCAGAGCTGCAGCAAACCTTGCATAATAGTAATGGTATTGATGCGTAGATGGGTGTCAAGATATGTACCACGATGGTCTATAGATATGTACCACGATGGTGTTGAGATATGTACCACGATGGTGTTGAGATATGTACCACGATGGTGTTGAGATATGTACCACGATGGTGTTGAGATATGTACCACGATGGTGTCAAGATATGTACCACGATGGTGTTGAGATACGTACAACGAATGTGTTGAGATATGTACCACGATGGTGTTGAGATATGTACCACGATGGTATATAGATATGTACCACGATGGTGTTGAGATACGTACAACGATTGTGTTGAGATATGTACCACGATGGTGTCAAGGTATGTACTACGATGGTGTTGAGATACGTACAACGATTGTGTTGAGATATGTACCACGATGGTGTTGAGATATGTACCACGATGGTGTTGAGATATGTACCACGATGGTGTTGAGATATGTACCACGATGGTGTCAAGGTATGTACCACGATGGTGTTGAGATGCGTACAACGATTGTGTTGAGATATGTACCAAGATGGTGTTGAGATATGTACCACGATGGTGTCAAGGTATGTACCACGATAGTGTTGAGATATGCACCACGATAGTGTTAAGATATGTACCACGATGGTGTTGAGATATGTACCACGATAGTGTTGAGATATGTACGACGATGGTGTCAAGATATGTACCACGGTGGTGTTGAGATATGTACCACGATGGTGTTGAGATACGTACCACGATGGTGTTGAGATATGTACCACGACGGTGTTAAGATATGCAACACGATCGTGTTAAGATATGTACCACGATGGTGTTAAAGTATGCAACACGATGGTGTTAAGATATGCAACACGATGTTGAGATATGTACCACGATGGTGTTGAGATACGTATCACGATGGTGTCAAGATATGTACCACGATGGTGTTGCGATATGTACCACGATAGTGTTGAGATACGTACCGGGATGGTGTCAAGTTATGTACCACGATGATGTTAAGATATCTACCACGATGGTATTAAGATATGTACCAAGATGATGTTAAGATATGTACCACGGTGTTAAGATATGTACCACGATTGTGTCAAGATATGTACCACAATCGTGTTAAGATATGTACAATGATGATGTTAAGATATGTACCACGATGTTAAGATATGCAACACGATGGTGTTAACATATGTACCACGATGGTGTTAAGATATATACCACGACGGTGTTAAAATATGTACCATGACGGTGTTAAGATATGTACCACGATGGTGTTAAGATATGTACCAAGGTGATGTTAATATATGTACCACGGTGTTAAGATATGTACCACGATGGTGTCAAGATATGTGCCACAATGGTGTTAAGATATGTACCACGATGATGTTAAGATGTGTACCACGATGGTGTTAAAATATGTACGACGATGATGTTAAGATATGTACCACGATGTTAAGATATGTACCACGATGATGTTAAGATATGTACCACGATGGTGTTAAGATATGTACCAAGGTGATGTTAATATATGTACCACGGTGTTAAGATATGTACCACGATGGTGTCAAGATATGTGCCACAATGGTGTTAAGATATGTACCACGATGATGTTAAGATGTGTACCACGATGGTGTTAAGATATGTACGACGATGATGTTAAGATATGTACCACGATGGTGTTAGGATATGTACCACGATGTTAAGATATGTACCACGATGGTGTTGAGATATGTACCACGATGTTTAGATATGTACCACGATGGTGGTAGGATATGTACCTCGATGTTAAGACATGCAACACGATGGTGTTAAGATATGTACCACGATGGAGTTAAGATATGTACCACGATGTTAAGATATGTACCACGATGGTGTTAGGATATGTACCACGATGTTAAGATACGCAACACGATGGTGTTAAGATATGTACCACGATGGAGTTAAGATTTGTACCACGATGTTAAGATATGTACCACGATGGGTGTCATGATATGTATCTACCGAGGTGCACCCAAGCTGTGTAATTAGATGTGATCTCTATGCGGATCAAGTCAGAATAGGTTCAAACCCTACATAACACTTACGAAGTTGATGATTACAGACTGACATTTGCCACACAGCTATGTGAGACTCGTGAAAGAGTTGTACCTGATTTGAGAGCCTCTCGTAAAGCTTCAAATTTCTCCTTGGTGTTCAGGACAGGTAGGCGGCCGTTGTTACCTTCTTTCCCACATTTCATCACGGCCTCTCTGTGGCGTTGTTCGTAGGGGAATATTTTGAAGCAGAGGCCGCCAGAGAAAGTGAATCTATCAGGGCAGCGGGGATCTCTGGATGCTAATATAGATAATAACGTGCAATGAATGAGTATACCACTGGCTAATTGCTTTAGTCATCCCTGGGTTGACATTGTTAAGTAGATGTGCCTTGAGAGGATACTGATGGTGGTGTAAGTCAGTACTCAGTATAATATGGGTGTTTAGTCTATATTTTTTCGGCTTATAAAATTAGTCAGTAAAAACGTCTCGGGGCGGATTTTCCAATCATATTTAGTCAGTAAATGTGAAAAGTGACTTGGACATGGTTCATAGTTTGAAAAACCCCGTGAAATCCCTCGCTCACATATCTCGAACAAGTGCCAAAGTGACATCTGACATACCTTGTATTTCTGTTGTAGTAGTAGGAGTAGTTGTTGTGGTTGTAGTAGTAGTAGTTGTTGTAGTACTTGAAGTCGTAGTGGGAGTAGTTGTAGTTGTTGTAGTCGTAGTAGGAGTAGTTGTTGTAGTTGTACTTGAAGTTGTAGTAGTAGGAGTAGTTGTTGTGGTTGTAGTAGTAGTAGTTGTTGTTGTTGTAGTACTTGAAGTCGTAGTAGGAGTAGTTGTAGTTGTTGTAGTCGTAGTAGGAGTAGTTGTTGTAGTTGTTGTAGTACTTGAAGTAGTAGTAGGAGTAGTTGTTGTTGTAGTACTTGAAGTAGTAGTAGGAGTAGTTGAAGTTGTGGTCGTAGGAGGAGTTGTAGTTGGAGGCGGGGCGGTTGTTAGAATTACTCTTTGTGTTGAAATTTCAACGTCATCGGTGGGTTCTTTTGATTTGGGCGATGTTATTCCCGTTTCTAATTTGTTGAGAAAAATATATTGCAAATGGAATGTTTATGGGATGCAAAGCGAGTTCCCCTTTCAAATCAAGGTTATGTCCCTCGTGGAATGGGTTTGGTTTGTCCCTGGCTAAATCTCGGAACAAAGCAACATTATGGGATGGGTAATAAATGGGATACAAAACGATATCTCCTCCCATCGTATTATTACCCATACCCAAAGTTTTGATACCGCCCCAAACATCATTAATTTGCGTTTTCCATATAGGAAGGGAAATGCGCAGTAATACAAGTCCTTGGCCAACTGTAAACCTTTGATTCCAATTATAAAAAAAACAACTATAAAAACAATTTGAAGTAAAATAAATGATTATTCACCGTTTTATGATCATGTATGTAAGTTTATATGATTTAACAGTATTTTAAAACACAAATATGAGATTGAGACTTACAGTCTGCTGTCATCTCAGTCTAGAAGAGTAAGGCCGTCTTGCCACAGTTCAGTCGATAGAAATATTGCGGATGGTCATAGTGCTAGCGAAGCGCGCACGTTTGAATTATCAATAACAATAACAGGATAAGGTAACAGGTGCGGTGAGGTGTAATGGGGTTTAACGTCTCGTCCAAGATTATTGCACTTATATAGCGACGTGCATGTACGTGTGTGTGTGTTTGTGTGGCTGCTTGTACTAGTCCGGACTGATGCCGATTTATAGTGTTAGCTCACTGAGATACCATGCCGCAGTTTCACATGAATATCCCACTCAGACACAGTATACTGACTCCGAGCCGACCAGTCCTTGTTTTAGCCCCTTAATGCAGAGCGCTAGACAGGGTAACAACAAGTACCATCTTTTAACGTCTTTTGGTATGACGCGGCCGGGGATCGAACCCCGGACCTTCCGCTCTCCGGGCGGACGCTCTACCACTAGACCACTAGACCCGGATAAGGTAACACCTAGAGTTAACAGCAATATTCAGGAAACAGTTTTTGAGCGGCATTTCTGTTCATGTCTACCGTATTCGACGTAATAAGCGCCCAGGGCGCTCTCAAAATTAGAAATTGTGGGCTCTTATTAGAATATCATTTTGGTGAAAATTGAAAGATAAATTTCAGGGTTAATGCTGACAGCCTGAAATGTTTATATACGAGAGATATATTGTTCCAGAATTTAATTTCCCATAATTAAGGGTGCATATAACACACAAGTGCGTATTATACGCGAATAAATAGGTCTTGTGTACATTGATCAATCGGAAGGGGTGCTAATTGGGATTGTTAACTAACCAATATATTAGCAAATATCGGCGTTGGCGCTTATTACGTCGAATACGGTAATTCTCATCCGAAGACGAATCACTCATAATTATGCTGGGACGTTTGATTGGGTCAATCAATCAATCTTTATTGTCCGAACACGTTGTCGGGTCATTCCGAAAATGACGGCGACCCGAATCAATGATAATGTTTAAAAGAAGATTTCAGTCCAACTGTGTTCAGATGTAGAGTTTTTTATACCTGAATTTGAGTTAGGCCAACAGCTGATCGTCGAGGGGGCACGTGTGGACCAGTCGTCCGAGGCGACGCGATTCGCTGTGCAGAGTTGCGTCCTTTGGGCACGCCAGAAACCTATGATTGTGGGCTCGAATCCCGGTTCGCCCTGATTATGTTTCTAGGTTTGTCAGCACCATACCCGTGCTCGTGGGTTTAACCGAAGTGGTAAACGTATGAGACCTGCATCACTTTGTGCTTTCCTCCCATATTAATACTGTTAAAAGCGGCGTTAAACCCAACTGACTCACTCACTCACTGATCGTCGAGAGAATCTCGGTCAACGACGGCAGTACGGCGTGAGTTGGGTTTAACGCCTCTTTTAACATTATTCCAGTTATATCACGGCGTTGATTTGATCGAAATGATCATATCTATACTCAACAGCAAGCTTACAAATTCTACAAGTGGGAAAAAGACATGTTTAGTGTTAATGGTAGGTTGATGGTAGCCCGACCCTTCATTAAGTTAAATGCATAATTATGGAACAGCGTCATTTAAATAGTATTACAGCCATCCTTAATGACGCATTATTTATGGAGTTTTGATTTACAGTAAAGCACCATTAAAGTTTTATATAACCGGGTCCTCGTATCTGCAATCAGATCAACATGAAGAGGGTACTTTAGAATACCATACAGCCATTTATAGAGGGGTGAATTGACCCTACCTGGCCTCTGGTTTTTTTCTGACATCCCAGGCTGTGACGGCTGCGTCTTGGAGAAATCTGTACGGGAAACAGCGTTGGGCCCTGGCAGAAACCCGCCGAAACCATGAGGAACAATTAAGGCGGCAGCATGGGAGGGTGGCACCAAGAGTCCATTGTGGAATGAAGGAACGTTGTGTGTCTTCTGAAACTCACCAGGTTTTGTTGTGTGTACTTTACCAACAAATCCACCAAATCCAGTTAGAAACGTGTGTTTGGGCGGTTCTTTGGGTCCAACGGTCGTTGTTGCCATGGAGGACTGGATGTTGGCCAGTGGGTCGAAATGGAAACCTGATTGCAGAAATAACATATTTAAGGATGTTTGCTGGTTTGTGTTTGTGCTTACTGCGTAACTCGAACTGTCACGTATGAAGAGCCCTTTATCGATAGACTGTAAGTAGATATATCTGCAAACTATGAGGTCATTGCATTGTAACTACTTTGCGTTATGTCATAGCACAGATTCTTCTTCGGCTTCTTGATATCAGTTACTGATTTTGAAGTACATATTTACTTCCTGAACCGTTCATGATGGTAATAACTCGGGGGATTTATATAGTTATTAGCACCGCTTGATTATTAGTTTAGATATGTAATTAAAGTTTGAAATTAATATAATTGATTTTAGTTGACTTTTATTACTGTTTATGCATATAAAGTAGCCGTGCCACGCACCTTTAGCGCCTTTGTAAGCGAGTGAATTGTATTAATAAAAAACACAATGTTTGAGGATATAAATAGACATACTTTGTTTTAAGACTTTATAGGTGATTTCAATATTCGAATATAACACCTTTTCAACACATTAGATAAAAGCGAGAAAAATTTTCAATAATTATACCAATCTCTGTTAAACCATGCTCTGCCTCTTGCCTTAGCCACGCCTTCTCGGACAAAACCCATGAATATACTGTTAGGGGCAATGTGTTCCCTTGTGTCATGAAAACTGTGGATTTTATGAAAAAAAACCTGTCCCAGAAAATGCTTGAAAAAACAATATTTAAGTGACAGACTGCAGAAAAAAATAATATTGTCTGCCAAAATACTTTGTTGCAAGATGAAGAAAAATAATTCAGGCGCATAGCTTTCAATAAAATACTACCTGGTTTTGCAGCTGTAGCTTAAAACATCCACTGGTAGTATCAAATGGTTTCTTGCTTTTCCATGCATGGTTGTTCTCTGTTGTTATGCAAGAGGCATCGAATTGGCGCAAAAAAAGTTCTTAAGGCGAGTCACCTTCTGAACTTCTTATCTATTGATTTATTATTCGTATTTTTATTGGAAATACACGTCACGGCCAAATACCCAAATACCTTTGCTCGTAAACAATAGTAAAACAGGAACACTATCTGAACTGAAGTGTAGTTACCACTTCCAGCTGTAGATCCGGACGATGCCGATTGGGTAGATTTGAATGTCTGTAGTCCATTTAGGTTTGAGCTCTTGAATGGTCGAAAACTGACAGCGCCTGGCAAAGAGTGGATAAAGACATATAAAGGGAAATAGTTTATCTTTGATCAAAGCATGAGGTGTTAGAAAATGTATCGGCCACAAATAATATTAAGACCATCTGAACTTAATTCCGCTTACCATTTCCAGCTGTAGACCCTGAAAACCCCGGAACAGAAGATACAGCTTGGGTAGATTTGAATGACTGTGGACCATTTAGGCTTGAGCTCTTGAATGGTCGAAAAGCGACAGCACCTAGTACAGAGTTCATAAATACATGTAAATGAAAACTACGTGCTGAGAATTGTGTTTAATACATTCGTAACATGAACACTAGTAACTGATGCATTTACATTTATACTATGAATATAGACATGATGAACAAATGAGAGCCTATGCTCTTTGGATAATGACCACCTTGCAGTGAATTAAACACTCGTAGCGGTTTCTTCTCCTGCAGATGAAGAAAATACGTTCGATTTAAGTGAGGATGGTTTATTAACGTTGGCACTGTGTTGCTTGAAACCGCTGAAATTGAAGAGTACTAAGGCGGAATATTGCAACAGTGTCTTTTGTATTGTTAGTGAGAAGTCGCTATACCATCTTCTGCCCTGTAAGACATATCAGAAGTAGGTAACATGATATTTTTTATTGTATAACAGTAAATACATGTACTGTTTAACTTCAAAAGCAAAAACAACATATCGATCCATAAGACAGGATAGATGGGAACACCATCTGAACTGAATGTCGCTTACCATTTCCGGCTGTAGATCCGGACAAAGCCGGAACAGAAGATACAGCTTGGGTAGATTTGAATGACTGTGGACCAGGTAGGCTTGAGCTCTTGAATGGTCGAAAAGCGACAGCACCTGGTACAGAGTTCATAAATACATGTAGAGGGAAAGTACGTGCT